ATAATCAGAGTTTCGAAAAATTACATTACATGATTACAGGCAAGGACGAGTGCATAAGAAATAGACTACCAAAGCCTGATCTGGATTTGTCCAAGGCGCTTTTCACATTGGATAATGGCCAAAATGATGTCACTTTTGGTATCCGAACTTTAAGTTATCAACTCCAAAAGAAAGTCATACCCAGAATCGTTGCTCTTTTTATCTCACAAATTGGAGTAAGTTTCACTAATAGAATCAGATTTGCACAGATATGTGCTTGAACAGAGAAGAAAGATGAGAGAGCGTATGGGAGAGAGAGAGAGAGAGAGAGAGAAAATAAAGAGAATCTATATTAGGAGAAAATGAAAAGTGGCTTTACAATTTAGGGTTTCGGACTATTTATATGGAGTCCAACTAAACAATACAAAAGTGCTAAAGTGTACAACATAAAAACGTGTTTTACATAATGAAAGTGTAAAATGGTAAAATGCCATATATTATTCTAACACCCCCCTCAATAGGAGCATGGATGTTTAACATGTTCATCTTGGATTAGTTGTTATGGAAAGCTTGGCTCCCAGAGGCTTTGTGAGAATGTCTGCAACTTGCTCTGAGGGAGGAACAAATTGTAACTGAATTGTGCCTGTGGAGAGCTTTTCCCTTACTAGATGACAGTCTATTTCTATATGCTTTGTCCTCTCATGTTGAACAGGTTTGTTAGCTAATGCAATGGCAGATTTGCTATCTGAAAAAACAGTCACAGGAAATGAGTGAGCAATATGAAGATCATTAAGCAAATAGAGTAACCATTGAGCTTCACAGGCTGTAGATGTTAATGCTCTATACTCAGATTCAGTAGAAGATCTACTAACAGTTTGTTGCTTTTTAGATTTCCAATGAAATTAAAGTTACCAATGAAAAATGCATATCCTATGATACTTCTTCTAGTGTCAACACAACCAGCCCAATCACTATCTGAATATGCATTTAATGATAAAGAAGAATTTCTGGGATAGAATATACCTTGGCCAACTGTATTTTTGAGGTACCTGAGCACTCTATGTGCTGCTGTAGGTGTTGCTGAGTAGGAGAAACCATATGTTGACTTAATGCTTGAATGCAAAATGACAAGTCAAGTCTTGTAATGGTAAGATAGAGTAACCTGCCTATGAGTTTTCTATATGCAGTTTCAAAGACAGTATTATGAACTGAAGTGAGTTTCAAATTTGAATCCATTGGAGAATTTGCAGGTTTAGAATCAAGATAGCCAGTGTCATGCAAAAGATCCAATGCATATTTTCTCTGACAGAGGTTGATGCCTTTGTCAGGTTGTGCAACTTCTATTCCCAAAATGTACTTCAGTTTTCCTAAGTCTTTAATGGTGAAACAATTATGCAAATGGGACTTAACAACAGTAATTTTAGTCATGTCATTGCCAGCTATATAATGTCATCAACATATACTAAGAGTGCAGTAAAAGATGTAGTTGAAGTTTTGACAAATAAGCTGCAATCAACATTTGACTGGGAATAACCAAAATGTAATAAGCAAGATGTGAGTTTATGAAACCACTGCCTGGAAGCTTGTTTAAGACTATAAAGGCTTTTGACAAGTTTGCATACTTTGTTAGAAGCACTATCTATATAGCCAGGGGGTGGAGTCATATAAATATCTTCATTTAATCACCATGAAGGGAAGCATTATTAACATCTAATTAATAAAGGAACCAGTTTTTAATAGATGCTATGGCTAATAATGTTCTAACAGTGGTGATTTTGGCAACAGGGGAGAAGGTATCAAAATAATCGATTCCTTCTTCCAGTGTATAACCCTTGGCAACTAGTCTAGCTTTATATCTACCTAGTGTGCCATCTGAGTTATACTTAACCTTGTATACCCATTTACAGCCAATGCAGTGCTTACCTGGGGGTAGATCAGTCAGCACCCATGTGTTAGTCTTTTCTAAGGCTTCAATTTCCTTAGACATAGCCTTTTGCCAATGTATATCTTTAACAGCCTGTTTATATGTTTTAGGCTCTGGAATAGATGAAATAGAAATAGTAAAGAATGTATGTGATACATTCAGTCTAGCAGTTGATAAGAAATCATGCATGGGATATGGTGATGTTCCAGATGTATCAGTCTTTGCTTCACAGAAAGAAAAGTTAGAAGAATGAGGAATAGAATGTCTGTATATATTTAAGTAAGTAGGAGGATGTTTGGTTCTTGTAGATCTCCTCAGGTGAGTAATAGTAGTTTGTGAAGGATTATGTTGTATAGGAGAGGGAGTATGTGATGGTTGGGAAGGAGTGGTAATAATTGGTAGTGGGGAAGAGATATCAGGGGTAGAATTACGGTTTGTGTTTGATTGTGAGGTATTAATAAGAGTGGCAGCCTGTATAGTTTGAGAAGAATCAAATTGAAAGGGTTCGGGTGGAGGAAATAAGGGGTAAATATTTGGCAAAATATCAGGATCCTTAAAAGAAAGCACAGACTCATAAAAGGATACATTTCTGAATATCAATGTATTCTTGGTATCCAAGTTATAAAGTTTGTATCCTTTATAACCTAGTGGATAGCTAAGTAAGATGCATTTTGAAGCTCTATGATCAAATTTAGACCTATGAGATTGAAGAGTTGTTGCATAACAGAAACAACCAATGGTTTCTAAATGATCATAAGTGGGTAGTTTTTTTTCTAAAGGAGGATTAATATTGGTTCCCCAATTCCCCTCCAGGTGACTCAAACTTTGTAAAGCATTTCATATGGTGTTTTGTTATGCAAAACAGAGGATGGAACTATATTTATGATGTGAACAGCAGATAAGAAACAATCCATCCAAAACTGTAAAGGAAGATGTGCATGAAACATGATTGCTCTAGCAACTTGTAAAATATGTTGATGTTTTCTCTCAACGCTCCCATTTTGTTGAGGATTTTCAACACAACTTCTTTGATGAATAATGCCAGTAGTATGAAAGAAATTTTTCATAAAGAACTCAGTACCATTATCAGTTCTCATATAATTTATGGTTTTAGCAACCTGAGTTTTAACCATGTTAAAAAAATGAAATAGATGAGTGGTAGTATCAGAGGATATATCCAGGTAGTCCTGGTAAAATCATTTAAGATAGTAAGAAAATACCTGTGCTCAGCATATGAGGGAACTGAGAAAGGTCCCTATAAGTCACAATGAACAAGTTCAAAAGGATAAGATGCAATAGAGGAACTTACGGAATATGGTAAAGTCTTTTGTCCAGAGTAATGACAAACATCACAAAGATCATGCATTGATGAAACATTCTTATTCATTGAAACAGGAAGTTGAAAAAGTTTTTGAAAAGAAAGTTGTCCAAGTCTATTGTGTCAAACAGTGGCATCAGAAGTAATTGAAGAATTACAAAAAAATTTACAGTTTCTTTGATCAAGTTTCAGATGGTAAAGGCCATCCTTGGCTTCAGCAAAACCAATCATTGTTTTGTTGTTCAGCTCCTGCAGATTGCAGTGAGAAGAAAAGAAATTAACTTGGCAATTGGTTGCTTTTGTCAATTTTGAAATAGAAATCAAATTGAAACTGAAAGATGGAACAAGTAAAAGATTATGCAGTACAAGGTTAGGTCCCAAATTAACTTGGCCCACATGACTAGCACAAGTAGTTTTCCCATTAGGAAGATTAGCATTTATACAAATTGGTGAACGATGACTAGTAAATAAACTATAATCATACACAATATGGTCAGAAGCACCAGCATCCAATATCCAAGTATATTTGTTAAATGAGGAATGTTTAATCAAGGTACTTGCATTGTCTGAGGTTAAGCGGAAAAGGCAACAAGTGGAGTAGCAGTTTGTACTCCAAGTGCCCGTTTGTTCTCATAAGATCTTTTAAACTCTAAAAACTCATGAAAGAGATTATCAGTAGGGGAATTATTGACAGGAGTATCAGAAGGAACAAATACAAATCTTGCAGTTGTGTTTGTAGAAGTGTGGTCAGGGTGGATTCTAGGTCCCCTAGGGCCTCTCCAATGAGAAGGATATCCTATCACTTGGTAGCAATTTTCAGAAAGGTTATTATAACCACAATGACTGTATTTTAGTTTCTTCTTATCTTTTGAAAAAGTGGCCGATATGGTTTGAAAGAAGACTGAGTGGTAGACTTAGCAGCCATGGCAAGGGGTTCAAAAGATTTGGAAGTGTTTGTAAAGTTTCTTTGGCTTCCTTCTTGCAGTAGAAGGGAATAAACTTTGGACAGGGATGGTAAGGGAGAGGTTAAGAGGAAATGACTGCGTAATGAGTAATATGAATCATTTAGGCCAATTAAGAATTTCATTACAGAGTCATTTTGTTGAGCAGTAAACATATCATCAAAAATGTGACAAGTACAAGTGTTAAAAGCACCATAGTGGCAACGAAATGTTGGCCTATAAGTAATGTGCTCATCCCATAGGGTTTTGAAGGAATTATAATATTGAGTAATGGTTTGGGAGCCCTGGTCCTTAGAACTCAAAGATTTCTCAAGCTAAAACACATGAGGACCACTGGATAGGGTATATCTGGACTTAATTTCGTCCCAAACATCTTGAGCAATAGAAAAGAACAATAGAGACTGCCTAATTTCCTTACTGACAGATTTTAAAAGCCATGAGAGAACAAGGTTATTAGTGTTAGAGTAGGATACCCGGCGTTCCAATTAGATTGGACGTATTCTACTTGTAAATACAATCTATTGAAATTATATTAATTAAAAGACATTAATTTATTTTAAGAGTAAGCATTTATCCTATATTTGCACTTAAGATAAAATCCGTAGATCACATATAGATATATGGTATGATTGCGCATAGAGATGGTGATCATGGAACATACCTTGAAAGCTGTGATCTTAAATACAGTTCCAAGTCGTTCGATGTTTCGAGATGGGATATCAAATAAATCCGGAAAAGACTTGCACATACGATGTATACTTGTTGGACAAGAATGTTGCATTCCATCAACATTAGCGTGGGACGCAAATACATATATGTGGGTGCTTGTTAGAGAACAAGTTCACTGAATATGACCGTATGAAAATTCTTAATGATAATTTATCTGTCGAATAAGAATTTTCATGTTACAATAGTACATGATTAATCCTTAGACTTGAGGCACGATGGTAACTTTGTGCATATTATATTTTACTTTGATTTATCCTTTTGATTGCTAGCACAATCATTTAAAGGGATATTTTGGGTATTATGTTAATATGTATGGAAGTTTGTCAGTGGCCAACAAAGAATTCGACACTTATAAAGATAAGTGAATTTTCTATGTGTTTCATAGTTAGTAATTCAAAGTCCTTGGCCAAGGCGGGATGAATAGAGATTCATAAACCAATTACTAAACTTGAAATGGAATCATAGTTATTAAATCAATTTGGGTTTCGACAAAATCATACCCAAGATTTAATCGGGAAATTGGATGTCGAAAGGACTTGTAATCGAAATAGGTTTACTCGCTATTCACTTAATACTAGATTCATGCTACTTGCTAGATGTTCCCATGATATGTGGGGTTCTTGAAAGGATTTTTTTTTTTTTTTTCCAACGACATAACTTCTCGGATTAATAAACCGCCATAAGGCAAAGTACACGGGAAATCCCGGATCCTAGGTCACTGAGAGGTTACAACACACATCATGTAACCTAGCCATCACATACATACTTCAAACCATAGACATAAATCCCACTATCAAATCAATACATCATACTAACTTGACCACATAACAGATCGACAAATACACACACTAGACGCAAAAAAGAAGTACACCACTGACACGAGACCTAGAATACTCCTTCATGCTGCGTGCAATTTGGTCCATTACTTGTCTTTAAAAGCCATCCAATCCTGCAGTGCCATTCTAACTATCCACTCCTCTGTTTGCCATGTCTTTTCGAACATCCACATGTTCCTCGCTTTCCAAAGAGTTAATTAGATTAATTCAAATTACAAAGAGTTGTAAGCCCACTACTAGTATTAATTGTGAACCTAAAAGGTCACACCAATTTTTGAATGAATGTAAAATTCAAATAGTAATTCTAAAGAGTTAGAATTAATTGACAAAACTAATTTGATTAGATGTCAATTAAAGGAATATATTAAATTAATCAATTAGATTGATTAATTGTATTTTTGGATATTAATGTAGTAATTAATGAAATTACTAAATAAATAGTTGGAATTTAAAATTGGATTTTAAATTTCAAATCCAAATAATAATATGATTATTAAATGAGGAGATGGGACAAAAGATTAAAATAATAAAGTCTTGAAAAATTGTTTTCAAGAATTATTATTTTATATTAATAAGAATAAATTAATTATGGTGGTTTGGAGTTGTTAACTACTCTACATAATTAATCTTATTTTTATTAATACAATATTTAGTGGGAATAGTCCTATTCAAGAATGAATATTTTATGAAAATATTCTTGAAGACTTTTATATTTTATGAAAATAACCCACCAAATATTATTATTTTATACTAAAATGTTTAGTATACATATGGACATACATGATGTTCATTTTAATCAAAGTTTTGCTAAGTTTTTCAAGAGTTGAAAAAGAGAGAAAAGAAGAAGTGTTCTTCAAAATATAAAACAAGAAAGAGTTCTTGTAAAAATCTCCTCAAAATATATTCTATACTTATTGAACAAAAAACCGAGTAGTTTCTACTAGCGAAGAAACTATTCCAGAACCGAATTTCAAAAAGGTGGACACGATTAGAGGGAAAACATTTGGATTCCTAAAGCGAGTAACATCAAGAAGTGGACGTTACCAAACCGGGAATTGATTTCCTCATCCATCGTCAATTTTGAAGGAGTTCAAGAACAAAGGTAAATTTTAATTTACTTATAACAAATCAAAATTTGTATTATTACACGTTTTTAAATGATGACGATTCGTGCATTCGCTATATGTACGTATGGGTTGATTGTTTATACGATAAATACTTGTTTTTTAAACATAATTTTTCGCTGCGTATAACCCGTACGGTACAGGCGAACCCAACAATTAGCACGTACCCGAGCATGAGATTCAGTAGAATTTTGGGTAGGGTTAGAGGCAGAGAGCATACCATCAACAAAGCCAAGCTTGTTTTTCACACTTAAAGCCATAGAAATAGCGCGAGACCACGAGACATAATTCTCACCATTAAAGAGCTCGACCACAATGAGCGCACCAGGATTGTCTCTAGAATGGACAAAATAAGGAGATACTAGATCGTCAGTCGGATTTGCCATCAGATATAAAAAGAAAAACAGCGAACATGTATCGCACAGAGAATCAGCGAACAGGTATCGGACGAGAAATCAGAGAAACAACAGATATCCACAGATCAATGACAAGTCTAAGATCTAGTACAGATCTACAAGGATCGGTCTTAGATCAAAGCAGATCGAGTTAGATCTAGGGTTTGTCGACCAAAAAACGAGAGAAAACAGATCGGAAGAACCGATTTCAGAATATAGTGCAGCAGAAAAATAGAAGAGGATTGTAATACTAGACGATTGATACTATGATAGAATCATATTTGCACAAATTTGTGCTTGAACAAAGAAGAAAAATGAGAGAGCGTATGAGAGGGGGAGAGAGAGAGAGAAAAGAAAGAGAGAATATGTATTAGGAGAAAGTGAAAAGTGGCTTTACAATTTAGGGTTTCAGACTATTTATATGGAGTCCAACTAAACACTACAAAAGTGCTAAAGTGTACAACATAAACGTGTTTTACATAATGAAAGTGTAAAATGGTAAAATGCCATATATTATTCTAACATTCACTCTTCATTCCCTTTATGTATTTTTCGTATATATATATATAACAAAATTGGTTATAAGATGTGATCTGATAAAATTGAAGGTTTTATATGAAAGAGGAGGAAGAACATTTTGGAAACACAACACGGGCCCAATTGGGTGTTTGCCTGTGGCAATTGCAAAGGTACAGAAGCCTGCGCCGCCAGTGTACCTTGATGAGTTTGGCTGTGTGAAGACCCAAAATGACGTATCTTTGCTATTCAATAAAGTATCAAAGGATGAAATTGTAAGGCTCAGGGCAAATCTTTCCACTGCATCCATAGTCTATATTGATGTCTATGCTGCCACTTATGAACCAATCACCACAGCCAAGAAATCAAGGTAATTAAAACCCATTACATTCACCTCAAAAGCTACTCAATAGATATTTAGAGCAAGAAATGGCGTTTAAGGTATCACATTGACTTTCAAGATTAAGTTGCACCCAAATTTGGTTCATATCTTTTCAATAAGCTCACTTGTTGGGCATTTTGCAGGATTTGAAGACCCTTTCACCACATGCTGCGGCTATCATGGGATTGACTATGATGTTTATTGTGGAAACACAGAAAATGTAAATGGTACTCATGCATTTGCAGCTTCTTGTCTTAATCCTTCTAAAGTTATCAGCTGGGATGGGGTGCACTATAGTGAAGCTGCGAAATAATGGATTCCTGACCGAATAGTCAACGGGTCTTTATCCGACCCGCCAGTCGCAGTCTCGCGTGCGTGTCATAAGCAAGCAAGTGTCCAAATCCACTGTTGTGATAAACGATGATGTGATAATCTAAACTCATATGATAATAATGGGCATGTGTATTCGATAATTATTTATTTAATTCCTCAAATGGTGGAATTATTCCTTGTTATAGTGGATAAGCCAAGATAAAGGCATTTATCTACCCTTGAAAACACGTTTGTTATCAGCGATTGTGGCCCGCAAGATTAAGAAGGGCCCGCGACCAAAAAGCATTTAGTCGGTGTTTCCCACGACTATTTCATCTTGGGCAAAGGGGTAAGATTATAAAAATCTATACAGTTGACTTAGTGCAAATTGTCCTTAGTGCCCCTAACTTTATAAAAAATTTAACAATTGCACCATTGTCTGATTTTGAAACTACCAGTTGCTATTACACCATTGTTACTGTTCAACATTACTTTTTTTTTTTTTTTTTTTTCAAACGGTAGGAAATGCTCATAAGAACCAAATAACAAGGTACAGTACCAATCATCCGCGCCTACCAACGGGTAGAAAATAAACTGGGAGACACACTAATAATAGTGGTCTAAACAAACCCACCCGGGGTATCAAGCAGGTACATGCACCTGAGCCTTGAATACTCCATACCAACAGCTACCACCAAACTAACCATAAAACACTACATGAACACTAAAACAGCCAACCTAACAGAGCTAACAAAGCAACAGAAACAAAGAAAAGAAAACCAGCAGCAAAAACAAACAATACCCTTACAAACAGCAGACTGAAAAAGGACATGGACCAAACTACAGCTATCTCAGGTCTTTGAACTCTTCCCATTCCCTCATGGCCCTCTTCATGATTATTGTCTCTTCCCATTCTTTCCTTTGTTCAACATTACTTTAGTCAACCGAAAAGTGCATTTTCCTTCCCCTGTTCGTTCCCATATGCTCAACAAATTTATCTCATAAACCACCATCTTCCTCAGCAAATCCATATCTTCAGTAAATTGAATCTCAATTTTCCATACATATCTTATCAGTTAAAATTAATATTATTTTGATGATCTACAAATAGACATTCATGTTGAATTTAAAAAATAATTTTTTTATTGCTATTTATTACCTATATCATTACCAAATACAAGAGATATTTTAACATACAAAAGTTATCTTAGAACTAATTTAATAAAAATTATTTCAACATATACCTGTTATTATTTATCTATTGAACTTTACATTTTCAGAATTTACTTATTAATTTGTCCTTTTTACTTTTAGTATTTGGTTGTATTTTTGTGTTTTATTTTTATTGATGGTAAATCTAAAATTAAAAGGCTTGATACGTACGTGGAAATTCTAAGTCATGTTAGTAAAAAAATGAATTCCAAATAAAATTTTACCTAAATAACTTTAGCCTGGGTGAATTTTAAATCCTACTCCGTCCCTGCATGGATTGGAATGCATTTGGTCGTTTCATTTATAGGTGATGCATCATAACATAATTGAAATAAAAACGGCCTTTATGTATGCATGACAAACAGAGACGGAGCCACATTGGGCCCAGGGGGCCCATGGGCCCCTCTATTTTTTTTTTAAAAAAAAGTCAATTATATATATAATTCTTTAAAATATGTCTTGTCATGCTAAAATTATTTACAATATATTAATATTTAAAACCTATTTTATATGCTATTTTAATTAAATTGATAGTATTATTTATTTAATGATAAATGTACTAATAATCATTATATTTTACATTTATAAATAAGTTTTTGAAAATATTTATAATAATATACTCTTTTGGTCTCTTAGTTGTAAATTGATTTTTTGTTTTATAAAATCGAGTATTTAGTTGGATTGCTACGTTTTTTAATATTGAGTTTTTATTTTTTTAATGTTATCTCATATTTTTTACTTTATTTATTTTCTTCAAAAATATTTATTTGATAAGTTCTGATCAACAAAAATGTTGCAATGTGCTGCAAAATTTCAATTTAAATCAATTTTGCAACCAAAAAACTTATATTTATAGATGTTGAACATAAATTACAAATACATGAAATTTTAAATATTTTTGTTTACATTTTTAAAAGTTTGAAGGTGATAGGAATCTAAGTTTTTAAAAGCTTGATGGTACACATGTAGATATTTTTATTTTAGTAAATACATTTTTATATGAAATGAGTGTTTCGACTTAAACTACAAGCTCGTTATTTAACATTAAAAATTGGGCCCCCCTAAGTAAATTTTCTAGATCCATCACTGATGACAAAACCACTATTTCTTATCAAAAATAAAATTAAAACAATAAACGCGAGAGAAGAAAAAATAAGTGAAAAGTAAAAAAATTACATCTGTTATTTGTTCTCTAAATATGACGTACGTAAACATTGCTTCAAAAATAGAAAAATAAGATAATAAAAAAATGATAAAATTTCCAATTATGACTTATAAGAGATTTTTTTTTTTTTTTAAAACACGGCATGCAAAAAACCAATTACAAACCGAGCACCTTTGCATGGAAAATGAGAAAATATAAACAACTTTGTTTGAAGGAAAATTTAGTAAATGTAACATTTATCTTACATTAGTCATAGATAATAAATGGGTAACAAATAAATTGCAACAATCTTATCTTGAGTATATCAAGTTCAACAAACAAATGACTTCATCCCATCTCTACAAGACAATCTTGGAAGCAAAGATTATTTTTATTCAGTCTCATCTTTCGTAACAAACGTGCTCTAACTCAATAGGCTCTGTCAAATGATTACACGATCTACGGGACCATCTCAGACTTGGCAATAATTATCCGTACAATAAATCCTACACTTACATCCCCTACGCGTAAGAATTAATTTTGTGAATTCGAACCCAACGTTCTTTGTCGAGTCCAACAATTGGTATCAGGCTCAAATGTTAATTTGGTTCCTCAATTTGTTCGATTTTTCTTATGACCATGTCTGTTTCGTGTATATTCAAGCATGGATTTGTAAATAGATCAGCATTAACTCGCATTAACTCGTCTTAGATTCAACTATTATGGTACAAACGTATGAATTTATTTTATGCACGTTTTTAAAACCTCATACAAGTGGTATTAGAAAAATTTATCATTTTTTATCTCGAATATAGGTGTATTGTGTGTTGTGTGCTGTGATCGGATCGTCGATGGCCGTCAGATTTTTTGTTGGGAAAATATTTTTGTGCATGAAATTGGGCATCTGAGACTATGATATCTGAGTGCATACCTGGATTCCATTGGACCCAATTTTCAGCAAGGTGCAAATTTTGAAACATGAGGTGCAACCATTCTAAGGTCTAATGACTCGTGGTTTGTTAGAGGGAGCCCTTTCTCTCTTGAAATCCAAGTTGAGCATTTCTCAGTTCAAAGAAAGATCAGCTTATGTCTACTCACTGTAAGTATGAAACTGTTCACAAAGATAACTGTAGTTGGAATTTCTTCTTGCACATCACATGAGCAAGACACAAAAAAGGGTATATATATATAAGGGCAGATCAAATGAGACCAATTCTTAAAATGCGCCCAGCTCTTAAAATGGGACAAGCTCTTAGCAAGCTCTTAAAATGGGACCAGCTCTTAGCAACTACAGACAACTAACATAGTAACTACAGAGAACTAACCTAGCAACTACAGAGAACTAACTTAGCTACTACCAACCTAGCAACTACTAACGTAGCAACTACAGAGAAGTAATCTAGCAACAACAGACAACTAACCTAGAATTCCTTTACCCAAATTCAACCCCCTTTCACCAAAATCCTTTTTTCTGTCCAGAGTTTCAGTTCAGGCAAGCCGCAGCCGGCGCCGGCCGGCCTCCGGTCATCCTCTACCGCCACCAAAAAAAGTTTACCATATAAATTCATTTCAGTTTTTTAACCTTATTTCCAACCTTGGTTTAATTTTTTAAGTCTTCTAATCTCAGTTCTCGGTCATCTATGGCCCCTTCGGACACTTTCACGGCCAACAAACAAGCTCGATCCTCTAGTAAATCCTCGGAGCTGGAGCTTTTTATTTCACAGCCAGAAATCCAAGAGGCTTTCTCGGCATTTCTCGCAAAAAGTGAAACCAAAAAAATGGAAGAAGGAGAAAGCAGCAAAGTGGAAGAAGGCGAAATAATCGAAGGCTTTGAGCAATATCGGATCAAGAATTTTTCTCTGGATTTCAACACAAAGACGATGACCACCTCGTTGCGGCCGGATTCCGGTAACCAGCCGGAGCCAGGAACCACCATGCCACAACCGAAGTTCAATCGCCATCTAAATCTCGACTCGCAGCTAAAAAGTCAAGGAAAAATGGAAAAAAATCTTAATCAGAAACCTCAGTCTGTCGAGCAAACCGAGCCGCTGCTTACATTAGATTAGAACTTTATTCCGGGCATCTGTTAGCTCGAAGACAGACTTTGTATTGTTTTTTCTGGTTTTTTCGTTTTTTCTTTTTTGTTTTTTGTTTTTGTTAGTGAGACCTGTAGACTGTTGTAGACTGTTGTACGTTGATACTTTGGGCCCCCGATAACCTAGCAACTACAGAGAACTAACCTATCTAGTTGGAAGGTTAGTTGTCAACGGTCAACGCCGGAAGTCAACGGATTTCGCCAGAAGTCAACGGTCAACACCGGAGTCAACGGGTCAAAATAATATTTAAATAATTAAAATAATAAAAAGAAAAGAGTAAATCTTGGCCACATATGATGTACCAAATCTTGTGGCTAAAAATGAATCTTACGTCCTCACTTTAAAAAAACGGCCGCATTTGAAGCAATCCCTATATATATATATATATATATATAGGGGGTGGATCCAATGAGTCCACCCCTTAAAATGTGCACGTGAGACCATCATCTGAGCCGTCAGATCTGCCTTTCAGATCTACGCTCAGAATCAAACATATAAATATAACAAATCAAACAGAATGAAAACACATCTCCATCTCCGCTCGCAGCA